AGCCTGTGATAAGGTGCTTTGTGCAGATCTGGTGTGCTGAATGAAAGGTGTTCTTAACTTCAGTTTCTTCAGCAGAGGAAACTGCTTTTTTTGTGAAAAACCAAAGAAAGGTTTTTCAACATTTTGGTCTTCTTTGCATGATGTATGGAAAGACACAAAAAATAATTATCGATGAAAAGTGAGGAATTGGGGCCTCTCTGGTGGCACAAGGGGTTAAGCACTGCACTATGAAGAAATCCAAAGCCTCTGCAGCATGAGTTCAATTCCCAGCCATGTGGGAGCAACCCACATGGCACAGCAGACCTCTCCTGCCTCGCCAGCTCTTCCCTCAGCAGTGTATTTCAGCCAGTCTTCCTGTTCTGTCCCCTGCTCTGCCTCTGGTGAATCCTCTCACCCTCTGCATCTTTGGCCTGTACCCCAGCTCTTGCATGCATAAATAAATAAATCTTTTTAAAAAAAATGAGGAATTGTTTGGAAAATCATGAAGTTGCATACCTACAAAGAAGCCCTCACTGGAGTGGATTTATTTCAGTCCCCGGAAAAGCAATCACTTGTTATCAATATAAGACTGTATCTCACAGACCCTGAAATGTACTTTTGTGTGACTAATAAACAAAAGCAGAATATCTCCAAAAACTTGTACAGTCCCTGCTCTCTGTTTTTTCAAAAGTTCAATCAGGGTTCACAGATAAGTGCATCTCAAGTAGTTCTCAAGGTAAGTAATATATTTTAACTGACAGAAAGGCTTTTAGAAATATAAAGGAAGCCTGGAAATTTTTTGGACTAAAAAAAAATTGATGATGTACATTGTATTTCTATTGAATTTCTGGAGGCCTAATATCTACATGGAATCTCTCATGGTGTCTAATTCTTAAAAAGTATAACGAGAATTCTAAACTTCAGTTCTTACAATAAAGTAATTCTTTAAGTGGTTTCAAAATATACTTTGCCTCAGGTTGTTGGGCTCTTTAAATATGGATAAGTAATTTACCTTTCAAGTAGCCCTAACAAGAAGAGAGAAGCGAAAAAGAGTGAAGTCAAGGGCATGTAGCTACCATTTCACTCTTAGGATTTTTTCTTTTAATCCCCCAGTAAGTCATGTCAGAAAGTTGAACTGGCCTACAGGAGTTTCATTTCTGCATGCATTCGTTCAGATTTAAGATGGCTTATATTTTATAACAGCATTTCTATTAGTTTATTAAAATGTTAGTTATATTTTAGGCCCCAACATATTTAAGCATTTAAACTACATTACTATATTAAATTTGATTCCACAAAAGCAATCCTCTGAAGTAATAATTTCCATTTTATAGACATGGTAACTGAGATGTATTAGAAAGATTAAGTCACTTTCCCATGATATAACTTGGAAACACATGCAATTTGTATCATCTAACTGATTTCAAACCCACTATCCTCACCACTGAACTGTGCTATGTAATATGGTATGGTGGAAACTTTAGATTTAGAACACTTAGGTTGAAATCCAAGTATGAGTTGTATAAATTTCACAACTCCCTTAATCATTTCCTCAGCTTACATTTCTAATGTGTAAAATGAGATAAATAATCATTGTCTTTTTTTTTAACTCAGAAAATCTGTGAAAACAAAGTTTAAATGGAAATATTTTATAAGCTACAAATATCCATGAAAATGAATGTTATTCCAATATTTGGACTTGCAGATATCAGACACATATACACATTTGTTGAATTCAAATTTGATAGACTATGTGGAGTAGGCATAGTAATAACAATTAAGCTAATTTCAGGTTATTATAGTAAACTTAATTTCTTCACTATTATAGGATTTCTCAATCTTTAGTACAATTAAATATTCTTTGGTTAGGTGGTGGTGGGATGAGCATTCCTGACCTTTATAAAGTTGATGCCAGTAGATGCTTCCCCACTTCCCAGTCCGGAGACCACCAAAAATATTTGGACATTATAAAATTTCCCCTGGAGGCAAATTCACCCCTACTTGAGGATCACTGCTCTGTGCTCTGTGATCCCAGATAGAACCAAACAAAGAACAAATAAAGCTGCACGTGGCCTCTGCAGCACTGGTTCGATCCCCAGCTGCTCCCCGGCCACCGGAGAAGGGTCCCGCATGGTGCGCAGACCTCTCCTGCTGCCCGCTGCTCCCCTCAGCAGTGTGCTTCGCTCCTTCTGCCTGCTCTGCTCCCTGCTCTGACTTTCGTGAGTTCTCTCACCTTCCCACGCTTCTGACTGTACCCAGTGCTTGTATAAATAAATAAATAGATAGATAAATAAATCTTTTTTAAAAATATATTTAAAAAAATAAAAAAATAAAGCTGCAGACCCACCCATCTAGAAGCAGGCAGTTCTCAGAGAAAGACAGGTATATACCTGGTAATTATCCCCAAAGTTGTCTTCTATAAGAATAAGAAATGTTGGTGGGAGTCATGAATTTTAAAACATTTTACTAACATAACTAATTCTACTAAAATAAATGAGAGCATTCAGAATTTTGAGTACCCTATGAATTAAAGGAAAATGTAATTTTCAAAGTTGAAGAAAACACATATATGTGGTTTTCCCATTCTACCTTAATACTATGGTTTTCATGGTTTTTGATCATACATACTTATGCTAGAGAATGATTACTACCATTGAATATAAATAAATGTGTGTACTTGTATATAATTATTTATACTGTTACATTTTAATTCCACAAAATCACATAAAATGAGATAATGTAATTAATTATAAAAATTTTATTTCATCTTACTATTAGTAGTAATATTAAAAGTACTATATGGGACTTATGATCCAGAAAAGATGACATAGACCTGCTACCCTCTGTGCATTCCTGCTAAGAGAATTTATGAATCCTGAAAATAAAGCAAAAGGCAATAACGCAAAAGTAGTAACAGAAAGGCAAGCTGATTCTACATTCAGCTCTGATCCTGCACCAAACAATGAAAATGTAGCTAACTAAATGTAAGCTAGCAACAGAAAACAGCCCAGAAAGGTTATTCATCCCCCAAATCCAAAGTGTGTTTTAGTAACTACCAGGCAAGCCTGGCCAGCCTCAGTTCCTTCTCTGCCAAGAGATCAGGGGTTGTGCTGGACCCGAGAGTGGGGCCCAGACAAAATGAGCAGCCTGACCTGAAAGTCCCTTTGACCCTTTATAAAATAAGAAAGTAGTGAGTAAATTTTTTAAGTTTAACAACTCAGAAATTTTTCACAGTAAGAGAACCAGTGGACATCTGAATACTAACAATTTCATCACAAACTATTACAACCATTTCTTTACATTTTAGGGATTTTGACTTTGTATAAAGGCCACATCAATGTCATCTCAGCATTCTGCACAACTGGGTTTTGATTTCTTTGCTATAGAAACAGTCTCTACAATATTATAGTGAATGCATTTCATAGTAATCTAATCTTACTTTAGGATCCTGCTTAAAATTCTTGTCAAAATGTTGTTGCCATAAAGCATTGTTTCTATTAAGTAAGTTAATTTAAGACTAAACTGAGATAACATGTTTCATCTAACCTTTGACAAAGAACCGAAAGTTTGATAATACTCTGATTTGTCCAGGGAATACCGAAACAGGTGCATTGCTCCTGGCCATAGAAATTGTTACAGCCTTTATAGAGAACAAGATGTTGGTGATTTCTATCAAATTTCACAGACATGTGTCTTTGACCCAGCAAATACTTCTAGAATTAATGCAACAAATTTATACACATGCAAGAATGAAAAAATCAAGGCACATTATAGCATGCAAAGCCCACTAACCTTTTACTGAAAAATGGACAGGGACATATACATATTTCCTAGTGTGTGCATAAATTGCCTCTGAAAGAATATTCACAAGAAGCCAATAATATCTGTTGCCTATGGGTAGATGAAGGAAAAAGGTGGGACACAAGGGGGAAGAAACTTCTACATTATCCACTTTTATATTTTATGAATGCCGAATGTGAGAATTTCATGAATTTCAAAAATAAATTTAAGAAGTCATTTCCTATGAGAATATGTCTTGATAGACATTTTTTTCTTTGGTGGCTCACAGTAATTATTTTTATTAAAACAGAATCTAGCAAACATTATGAACTGAAGCAAATCAAAAATATCTAAACTTTCATCCAATAGCATAAAAAAATTCTACAATATCTAATATTTGTATGTTCAAATTTTCTGTAATAGTTTTTATGTGTCTTTTATGCTAATAAAGGAATACATTTCAAATTGCTGTCGCACTGTTTTCCATATTATTTCAGCTGTTATTATTGCAGCAGGAAGAAAAGTCTTTACCATTTATATAGAGCATTTTGTTTTTCTTTTTAAAGAAACCATTTATCATTTAAATTGGTGAAAACTCAGTGCTGGTTTAAGTATCATATGGTTTTAAGATACTGAAAGACAATAACTATTTTTCTTTATGTTGAGCATACTTTGTTTTAACTGTCTTAGCAATGATGATAGCTTCATACTTATTTTAACTAATGACCACTAATGTAAGAAACAATGTGCTGTAAGGGATACATTATTATATAAGTTATTCTATATCCATAACTCACATAGCATTTATCTGTGTCTAGAAAAAGGTGGATACACCACAGTTTTCTTTTTTCCTTTCTCTTTTATTTTTCTTAATAATGAATGGTGATGCAACTAACTGAGAAAAGTACTGAGATATTCAGTTAACCTGAAATTGGTTATTATTTTGCACACATTTGGATTTCATTTTTCTTCTGATGTATAGACTCTGAAATCATAGTTAATAGCACCACAGCCATGCTGTTGAGATCATTAACCTAGAAACCACAAAGAAATATAAGAAGCAATCATATTATATTTCATTTGGAAGCAATAAAATTAAACAGTTTACTTGGACGAAGCAAATCTACCACAAGGAAGCAAAAGCTCATTTTCATATTCTTATGATCAGAAGTGTGAAAAGCCTCAATTATTAAAATTTTTGACCATTTCAAGCCTATGCTTTCTTACTCTTGAACACTTACAAGTCTGGCAATGATTTTCTGTAGGTCCCCAGCACCGGCCAGTACAGGATTTATGGCAACGACCACCTGCAGAGCAAAGAAAGCACATGCACATTATAACCTGTCATACCTTGAACGGGAGTAACTCCTCAAAGAAAATATTCTTGCTCTTTTATGAGGATTTTATGTCATACCAGGGTTTAAACATAACTCATAAAGTGTCCACATAAGTAGCCAAATCTGAATGTCAAATACATATGAAGTTGAAATACAGTATCCTGGTATTCAAAATCTGCTCACTATATATTTTAAATGATCTGTATTAAAAAAATGCAAGCATTTAAAACAAATAATAAGTTTTTGTTTCATTTTAATTATTTCATACCCTCCTCTCAAGTTTTTTCTTGACACTAACTTCACTGTCAGATATCTGCCTTTATTTTCAATAGTGCCACAGATGATCTCCCATACTTAACTATGGCCTAGTGACAAAATAGTTGTCCCACAGAAAAAGTTCCATAATCTTTCAACAAACAATATAAGCTGGAAGAAATCATGCATGAGATTCTCTGAAGTTTGTTTCTGAATTTCACAGGTTTACTCGAAATTTTTCTGGGCGTTCAAGTAGGGAAAGGTTTATATTTAGAATGAAGTATAGACATGAAAACCTATTAAAGAGTGAAACTTTTCTATAACACACTTATTAATCCTTTTCTTAACTTTCTGATATTATTTGGGTATATGCTTATTTAAAATGTTTATGTTAACACAGTTAACATAAAAGTATGGAATAGAGTTATACTGAGTGTTTCCGTCTTTCCTTCAGAGTTTGCATAGGGGCCTCCCTGGTGGTGCAAGGGGTTAAGGTGCAAACTATGAAGCTGTCCACAGCCTCTGCAGCATGAGTTTGATCCCTGGCCAGGGAGCTACTCACATGGCACAGCAGACCTCTCCTGACTTGCCCGCTGCTCCCCTCAGCAGTCTAGTTCGGTCAATCTGCCTGTTCTGGTCCCCACTCTCTCTCTGGTGAATCCTCTCACCCCACACCTCGGCCTGAACCCTAGCTCTTGTATGCATAAATAAATCGTTAAAAAAAAGTTTGCATAGCTTTTACCTCTTCAGCTTGGAAGTTCTTACATGTTAGGATCCTTTCTCTCTCTCTCTCTCTCTCTCTCTCTCTCTCTCTCTCTCTCTCTTTCTCTCTCTCTCTCTCCTTTGCCTGAGTGATCTATTAGATTACATTTTTTCACTGTTAAGGGACAGAAACAGCAAAAACACTTTCTCAGCCTGCACTTCAGACCATCTTCATGGTTCTGTAAGTGAGCAGTATATTTCCAAGTTAATATAACAGGCTTTGTTCCGGTCACCTTCTTAAAAATATCAGGATCCTAGCCACAACCGAGTTTATTTAAGGCACTTCTGTTTGTAAAGCACTGCTGCTGACATCACCAGCGTATAATATCCTGTCACTCTGCCATCTGTTTATTTAGATCCAAACACATTATAAGTACATAATGCAAACTCATTCTAGCTGACAGGAAAAGTACTCCATCTGGCCTGAACAATATAACTTTAATCAGTGATAATGATAATTATTATTAAAAACCTACTGGAGTTCTTTTGTACAAAGCTAATAAATCTAAATTGATTTATACCAGCGGAAATTAGAAAGGACTGTGAGACAAAATGGCAAGAGGGATAACTTTCGGAGTACAAACTTTTTATTAGAAAGTAGCTAATGTGAATGTGTTGTTTTATTTTTTTAATCTATTTTTTTCTTCCTGAGCTATTTTTTTTAAGATTTATTTATTTATACAAGAATTGGGGTACAGGTCAGAGGCATAGGAGGGTGGGAGAATTCACCAGAGACAGACCAGAGAGCAGAGCAGGCAGACAGGCCAAAGACACTGCTGAGGGGAGCAGCAGGAGAGACAGGAGAGGTCTGCTGTGCCATGTGGGTATCTCCCTGGCCGGCCAGGAAATGAACCTACACTGCTGAGGCTGCAGACAGCTTCACAGCACTGTGCTCAACCCGCTGTGCCACCAGGGAGGTCTGAATGTGTTGTTTTAGATGTGTTTAAATTCTTGGAAGCAACCATACCATTGAGTGTTATGTTAACTGAAGATATTGAAACAGAAAACAATGTACCATTTAATCTATGTATTCATTGTTACCATAGTACTGTCTGTAGTTTTTTAAAAAGCTAAATAACATTAGACATTTTAATAATCTAAATGCTCACTTTTTATTTGATAATATATTTTTTACCTTATTTCCTCCATTTTGATTTTCCACCCCAAAACCTATTCCCAGAACCACTAGGAATATTACCAGAAATTTTGTTATGTTTCTTGATACAGTATCATGGCACGGTCTACCTAGTTGGGGACAAGTGATAAAATGTGCAAGCACACATACACAAACACACACACAGTTACAGATTAAATAATTTAACCTTCATTGTCTACATGCTGTCACAAGATTTTGTTTGTCTGTGCCCATTTTTTAATTCATACTTAAGCAGAAAAAGCTATTGTTCCTCTAAGATGAAACCACCAGCAACTTCTGTTGGGGTTTTGTTCAGTCCTTAGTTTACTTCACCCCTTTTGCAAACCAAGAGTTTTCAAAATGTGTTTGTTCCACACATTTCAGAATTATTTTACCCCAAATATACTGAAGATACCTGAGTTAAGTGTACGTCCATAAAACGTTGCTCAGTCTTTGCCATGCATTCTTTGCTTTTAAAGCTATGGCCCTTTTGAATCTGCAAGTCATTTAGCTCAACTTAAGTCTTCAAAACTGTGAAATATACACTTGTATAAATATTATTTTCAATGCCTTGTTGCAATTAAGTAAATGTCAAAATATCTGGCCAAAAATTTTTAAGGTATTTCTGAATTAATGCATTTAACACACTTTTGTGCCTACAGTTTTAGTTTGATTCTTGTAGACAAATGGGTAGTGTAGTCTCATGAACTAGTCATTTAATGCTTTAAAATCCGCTTTGAGATTTTTCCCTCTACATTTCTGCTGCACTAAAGTGTCTAAAGATGAAAGGATTGATAAAGGGTTTCCTTAGTTATTATGTATCTGAACTAAGAATAAAAACTTCCTAAAAACTTTCTTTACTACCTTACTTCCATCCAGAATTGCTTCTTCATCACCTTCTGCATATGGTTATTAGAAACTAATAAGTATTGGAGTTAAATAAGCTGGAAAAAATATGGTTGGTACATTCACAGTTTAGAATTAATTCAGCATTATTTTGAAGGTAAAAGGTTCTTACTACACAGTATCTAATGTCTACCCTCTATAGATTTAAGGAAATAAACCAATAAATAAGTATTTTTAACAGTCCCTGAGCCCAGGAATGGAGACTTGAAATAGTGTAATATCTGGTGACTTGAAAGACAGCACTATTATTTATACAATGATTTATTGATACATCTGTGATATCTGCAAAGAGGCAAATATGGATAGGATAAATATGGCCTCTGAAGAGTCCCTTGTCTGTCTCCTAATAGAAATTTAAACTTTTTAACCGTAACCGAGTATCTTACAGAGCTTACCTCAATCCTCTATTCCAGGTACCTCAGGAGGCTTGGTTTCATGAGGGAAAGAAACTGTATTTATCACTAATATTTCAGGTGTGCCTCAATTGTATAAACTACTTCTCCAGTAATACGTATTTTACTGAGGACAGCAAAGATAGGAATTAGTCAGATACTAGGATATGTGAATGGGGAAATGTTTTGGGACACTGAGTTTTGCCAGTGTTGTCCAAATCTCCCTATTTTTACATCACAGTCAGCTACATGATTGTATTCCATTGTCACAATACTTAACACTACATGAGAAATATGCCACATTTTTACTTTAAAATGAAAAATCTGACATTTCCCATTCAGCTTAGGGATAATATAGTTGTTTAAATAATTTCCACCTCCTGTCACTCTGACTGAATAAAAGAGGTGAAATTTAAAATAGAACAACATTTTAAACAAATATTTCTTTTACTTTCACAACCATTTGAATCTTTAAATACATGTCATGCTTGTTGACTATCAGCAGTGTTTTAATTCACAGGTAATCACTGCAGCTTTTATAATATATGATTCATTGTAGAAGTTAGCAAATATGACTAAGTTTCTCTTTTATGCTTCTCCAGAAGACATAACTAAAAATGTAGCTTTTGGATTCTTTTTTAGGAACTAAAGTCCCTGAGCTACTTTGATATTTTTAAGAGTTACAAATCCATGCTAGAAGTTTTGCTTGTTTGTGTGAATGTCTGACTGCAAAAAGAGGATTTAATATGTACCTCTATACTGCTTTCTGCAAGAAATATGCCAGGACAGTTGAAGAGTTACAAAATATGAAGTCAGTGGCAACCATAAAAGATTATATCCTCAAACTGCCTCTAGCTTAAAGGCAATTCAGTTATATCCCTAGATTCTTCTTTCAGTCCTTTTAAAAACTGGCAGTCTTGACCTCTTAAAACTATTTTTACTGGGGAAAGATGTGAGAGAATAATATCTTTTTCATGACCATATAATTCAAAAAAGGGAAGTAAAATATATATTGAAAGCATACTAAACCAGTCCCTTTTCTTTGCCAGGGATCAAAAAGACAAATTAGTCAATGCCCTGCCCTAAAGGAGCTTTCAAGGACCAGAAATAGGCAGGGGTGGGCGGATAAGTAATTACTACAACCATAATATTTGTTAAAATAACAGGTATGAATAAAGTGAACAGGAAGGATTTGCAAGACTGCAGAGGGGTTGGTATTTCAACTGGGTTTGACTATTTAGATGACCAATAGAGAAGGGGAAGGAGAGAGAATTCTGGCTGAATTTAACCTAAGCAGCGACACATAGGCATGGAGGAGCACCACTATGAGACCGCAATGAGAAGTTTAGGGTTCCTTTGTTGGGGGGAAAGAAATCTTGAACAAGCTCCACAAATAGGTTTTATGGACCCACCCCCAACCTAGACCAAAGATGCAAGATACCAAGGATTAAAAATCCCACGTCATCACCAACAAAGGGAGGGTTGCTGGGAACTGAGGGTGGAGTTAAGCAGCCAGGTTT